GGCTGTGGCACTGCCCAGACCAGGACTTCACCTAGTGCTGAAGTCACCCCCTCGCCCGGGGCGTTCGAGGGCCCACAGGAATTCCTTTGCTCAGCACTTGGGTTTGAACTCTCAGCTGAAATGGTGCAAACCCCCGGAGAGCTCTGGGAAGCTCCTGGGGACACGTTCCCAGTGAGCGCTGTGTCCTGGCCAGCAGCTGGACGGGTCAGGGGAAGCTCTCGGCCGATTACTGCACCAAAAGGCTGCAGATATTTTTAACTGCACAAGATCTTGCCGAAACTCCCACGAACCTCACCGTGGGCTCTGCCACACCGGGAGCAGCCCTGTCCCCGCACGGGGACGTGCCACACACTCTGGTCTTTGTCTTGGGCTACATCTCATAGTGAAGTTTTGCAAAGGCACCACTGATTCCCTGGGACAAGTACGTGCTTGTGCTGTCATTTCTGCTGCCTTACACCCGAGCTCGTGGCTCACACACGAGGCACTAGGGCAGCGTGGGTCGGGCTGAGGACATTTTGGGGGGGGAATTGGGTATGAAACACCCCCTTCCCTGAGCCAGCAGGAACAGCAGCTTACGCTGGCATTAAAAAGGAAAAAACCTGCATTGCACAACATAGGGCAGCACAACGGGACAGGAGAGGATTCCAGAGCACAGCGAAGGGACTGGCATGGAGGGGACCTCCTGCCTCCCTCCACAGGCTCTGCCCGTGTGTCTTGAGTGGGGGGTCACAGCAACAGGGCCACTCTGTGGGGCCATGGCTAACACTAGCCCTGCACTGGTCGTCTAGCACAGCATGCCAGGCACTGGCAGCGTCCCTTCCCTCCCTCCCGACCTCAAGGACACTGCGGGTCGGTCCGGCAGCAGCCGGGAGGACTCATGGGGGAGGCACCTGAACCGCAGCCCCCGCGGTGGGGTGTCCTCCCGGCAGAGCCCCACTGGGGTTTGGGGTCCCCGACTCACCAAAGCAGAACGGAGTTTTCGGTTTCTGTTTCGGGGTGGCGATGCTGACCTGCAACAGAGCAAGGTAAAACAAAAATTAAAGATGACTGCACACGCTAATGGCACTCACGAGAGCTGGAAGTTCCCACCCACACACCCAGGATGGACGGGAAACCAGTGTTCTCCAAGCTCCAAACCAGTCAATGCTCCCAGTTCATCTGAGTGTCCAGCACTGAGCCCTGGAACGGCCCCGTTTGCAAACGAGGAGGAGAGCGGGGAGAGCCAGGCAGCTTGAGCCGGGGAAAACGAACGTGTGGATGAGCAGAGCCCAATTAGCACATCCTCCCCGTGCATCTCCCCGTCAGACCCCAGCTGTGTGCCACCGCGGGACCCTCGGGCACCGTCCCCACCCCGGGTACAGCCAGGCAGGACCCCCAGCAGCGCAGCCCTCGGGGTGCTGGCACATCCCGTGCGCACAGCGTGAGCCTGTGAGCTCTGCCAGCTCCTGGGAACCAGCCCGTGTCGGATGTAACGCAGAGCACATGCGGCAACGGACGCGCGGTCCCAGGGGAAGGTCAGCGCCGAGACGGGGCTTTCATCTCCCGCCGTCCCCCCCGGCGCTGGCTGCGCTGCAAAGCAAGGAACGGAAAGCTTTCAAAGGGCTCGAAAACGCGAGTTTCTGCTGGACTAACACAGTTGCTCTTGTCAGCAATTAAGAAAATTGAGGGAAAATAGCAGTGGTTTCTCCCTAAAGAGTCGGAACCGTTTATATAAGAGTAATACTCCTCGGGGCTCCACACACAGCATTCATGGAGTATTTCTTCTGACAGGCTTCCTCCTCCGGAGCCAGTCTATAATGCTTTAAGTATGTTTTCTCAAGCAAACCTCCATTTTTCTGGCGTATTTACAGCTGGTAGCTAAAGCCGCCGGCGTAACCCAATCCTGCAGTTTGTGACCAAATGCTGTCCTACAGCAATCTGCATTTAGACTAAAACCTCTATAATTTATAAGCGAGGCTCTTTCCGAAATGGGGAAGGCTCAACCTCCCAGCGTTGCTTCATCTGCGCTTAATTTATAAATCATGA